CCGAAAATGACCCAATTAAACTTTTCAAAACCACTTTCCTTTAGAATTGAATCTTGATTTTCATATGCTAGCAAAATAGGAGTCAATCTTCCTTGATTCTTGATTCAAACCAATGCACCAAAGTATATCATCAAGTCATGTACCTAGCAAAAGGCACACAAACATTTCCATGAGATAAAATATATTCTATAAAGAAAAGAAAATGAAAGAAATAAAACACGGGTTACTTCCCGAGAAAGGCTTGCTTAAGGTCCAAGCTTGACCACTCTAGAAAATAATAATTCAACGCACGCAAGAGCTTCTTAAATGCACTACTACACATTTCATATGATAGGAGGTAAACAAATGACGGGAAGAGTACGTGCAAAAAGGATAGTGCATGCAAATGAGGAGAGAGATGCCAAGAAAAGGAAGAAGAATCAAAAGAAAATTCAACAAAATAAGAAATGAAAAAGAAGAAGAAGAAGGCAAACTTTCCTCAAAATATTTTTGGGTGGCTACATCACCCTTATCCTCAATAGGGGACGAATGAGGTACATGTAAATCATCATAGACAAGGAGGTGTCCAATATGCTCATTAACAAAGGAAGGGAGGGATATAGGAGTGTAGGGAATATGGTTGAAGCTCCTTAAAAAAGGGACATGAGGGGATGGAATAGGGGCTATAGTTTCACAAATGAACTCTTTCTCACTACCATGCCTCAAATCACCAATAACAGCATGAAAACCAATCATAGAATCCTCAAAACAAGAACGCTCATGATCATCAACTCCCCTAAACATCCAACTTCCAAGAGGAACTACATAATCCCCTTCACTATAATCATGAACAACAACTCACTCAACTTCCTTAGCCTAAATTCTCAAAGCCATGCATGAATGGATGAAAATTCATTTCAAACTCATATCTCTCCCACGAAGCATTCTTAAAGAGCTCACTCAAAAGGCTATGGGTTTTAATTTGACACTCAAAGAACATATTGGTCATAATCTCAATCGAGTCCAAATACTCATGGATAGAAGAATCACAATCATGCATAAGAGACTCATAAAGATGGGAAGTAGGGTTGAGGTTATCAAAATCAATACTCTCTTCACCCTCAACTCCTTCACCATCACTCAAATGCTCACCAATGGGATCCTCACACTCTCTTGGTTACTCAAAATCATCATCATCATCCTCAACACACACATTAAATTGGGTTTTTTTTACATACAAGCATCAAGGATGACAAATGGCTTTTTAACTCTTCTTTTCTTCTCCTTCCCTCAAGACGCTCCTCATTCTTTTTCATTATCTCTAATTGACCTCTCATTGATTGAAGAATCATCTCCTTACTAGGCCCAAGGTTGTTATCAAGCTCAATGCGCCTAATTTGAGACTCAAATATATCAACAAGAGATTCAAAAGATGTAGAAGGTTGAGGCTCAACAAGAGAAGATGAGGTACAACCAAAATTGGAAGAATCAACATTAAGTTCATGAGCATATACATCACATTGGGGAGTGGGGGCACAATCAAACACATGAGATTCTTCATTAAGGGAACAAAGCACACCACAAGAAGGCATGATTAATAATGATGAATATTGAAACACACCATTAGCATCAACTTCAGCATGCACTTCATCATCATGAACAAAAGGAGAAATAAATTTGAAATCATGTGTTCTAGGTTCACTTAAGGGATCATGTCACAAATCATGGGAATTCATGCTAATATTAGAAGATTCAACACATTGCGCATCAATATTAGAATCATGATTAACCCTATTATAAACATCCCTAGGAAACAAAACATAAAAATCCCAAGCATCATCAATTGACAATGCTCTAAATTCACCGTTATGCATACATTCAACTTCATCCCTAGTTTGCTCAATCAAACCAAAATAACAAATCTCACAAGCCTCCCAAAGACTACAACAATTATAGTCCAAAAATCCCTCAAGTCTATTAAAAAATATATTCACAAAAAGACTCATTGTCAAATTGAGGAAATGATAAACATGCAATTTTTTTTTTTTTTTTGCAAAACAAAAAAAAATTGAAATAAAATAAAAGTATAAACAAATACCTAGACTCAAGCAATAAAAAACACACAAACATAGACACCGTTCCCCGGCAACATCGCCATTTTGACGAGAGGAAAACTAGGTCGTTATCTAATCTTCCCTCGGTAAAACTAATTTATAAATACTTAACAAACATAAATACGAGTATAGAGGCAAGTCAAGGGTCGAACCCAAAGGAACGGTAATGTTCAAATACTTTCAATTTGGGTGCCTAAGATAGGTCGAAGCCAAAGATAAAGAGAGAATACTAACAACTAACAAAATAAGTAATCAAGGAAATAAAACACTAGGAACGGGGATTAACAAGTAATCGTGTCAATTGCAACAACTTGGGAAGATCATGCCAATTAAAGGTTTTGAAGTCTACTGAAAAGAGCAATCAATTGGAATCAAAGACCTATCTCCTAATTGTTAAGCTAGGGTTTACTATGAATAACAAACTAAGAGAATCGCAATCAAAACCAATCGATTATTGCAATTCCTAAATCAATTATTCGTTTCATTAGCAATTACAATGCAATCTAGCATAATTCTCAAGGCCTAATCGAATTACACACATGAAATAAACCTTCATTAATCACTTTAATCTCAACAATCAATCAACACAATTCCCAAATTAATCACTATTAATCAATCATACAAGTTTCACCCAATTCCTAGCCAAACAACTACTCAAATATCATCATCTATCAACAAACAACTAAAGGAAATCAAGAATCAACAATATATCAAGAACAATTACACTAATCAAGCATCAAACATCAAAATTAAACCAAACAAACATGAAATTAAACAAAGCAATAAGGTTAGATAGAGTTAAGAATGCTCATTGATAATAAAGAAGATCATCAACACAATTTTCACCCTTGTATTTTTAATCTCTCAATCACCATTGAAATCCCTTACTTTCTCTCTCTAAAACTACTCCTAATCTAGAGAGAGACTCCTAAACTAACCTAATCCTCCTTAGAGTAGAGAGTTCTAATCTAAAGAATTTCATGTATGAAGAATAATGAAGGTCGTACAATATTTATACAAACGGAGAAAAGAAAAGAAATTGCAAAGAAACCCCAAAAAGTTGCGCCAGCGAAGAACTCGACCGCGCCCACGCAGGAGAACAGGGCACGGGGGAAGCTGCGCCTGCGGCCAAAGCTCGCGCCCGCGGGGTCCTCGCGGTCTTCCCGCGGTGAGTTCCTGCTCGATTCTACTGCTTTTGAGGTGCAGCCACCCGCGCCCGCGGCCAGCTCGCGGCTGCTTGATGGGCAGCTGGGTGGTGCGGCCTTGGTGCGTGGCTGCTGATTTGGTTATACACATGAATGCTTATTGATACTAGCCTAACAGTGGGTAGATTACTTGTTAGGGATATGGTAAAGCATGTATGAGTGATAATTCATGGCTAATTGGGGGATTTTGATTGATCATCATTATGATTAAATTGGTTGGTTAAATTTGTGCATGTGTTTGATATCTTGAGGAGTGATCAACCTTAATTATCAAGCTAGATTTCATAATAGTTTTCATTGATACAAAAATTTGATTTGGAAGCTATTATTATCGATTGATCTTGTTTTGCAATTTTCCTTTGAAGTCATTTGTAGAGACATCTAGCTTGACCCTAGGAAATAGCTCTTTAAGTAATTTTGATTGCCTTTGTTACTTTACCTCTCCTTGTTTGATTTTTTGAATTCTTACCCAATTAGTATGATTGTAATGAGTGCATGTGGATCCTAATTCTCTAGCATCCTTTTTATCGTTCTTTTTTTTTTTGAAAGGAAAAACGCTCACATCGCCATTAGATTGAATCAAGTAGGGAAATCGATCTCCGCCAAGGAAGTTAATCCTTGCGGAATGTCATCAACAAATAGTTGCTCCCTCCCATACAAAGATAACAACCTAGCTGCTAAATGGGCTACACAATTCCCCCCCCCCCCCCCCCCTTTCACATGATTACACAAAAATAATTCAAAAGCTTGCTTAATGTAATCAATATCATCGAAGAGAAGGTCTATAGGAGCACGACTCTGACGCTTCTTGCACACTCCAGCAGCCACATTGATAGCGTTGCATTCTATCTCAACCATCTTGAAGCCCAATCTCCTCGCCAATTCAACACCAAGTCTAGCAGCCATAGCTTCGGCCACAACCACATCCACCAGTCCCCTCACCCTTCGCACCATAACATCCCCGATATCTCCCTCTCATCACGCAGCACTGCACCAAGACCAGCCACCCCACCATCAAGCAGAGCAGTGTCTAATACGGACCCAGCCAGCAGCAGGGGTCACCCAGCTACCCAAGGACCTCACAAATGCACCACTAGCATGGGTAAAGACTGCCTTCACATAACCAGAGTAGTCACGAACAAGCTGCACAAAACCCAAAACCCCAACATCCTTGTTCTGCCACGGTTCATTAAAAATTACTGAATTTCTGTAGGACCAAGCCCCCCACGCCATAGCAACAAACAACAGCAAGTCATCATTGTCGAACTTCGAGCATATCCACAGCAGCAAATCCTCAAAAGAATTTAAAGGAGCATCAGACAATAAGCTAGAAAAAGGGGAATGAGACCAAATACCCCTAACATTCGAGCACAGAAAGATGGCATGAACAATGCTTTCGTCCTCACCATCGCATAATGAACACAACCCATTACTTCTAACATGCCTCTCTTTCAACCTCCCAAAAGTAGCAAGGGACCCAGTACATGCCCGCCATAAAAAATTGCGTAGCTTAGGTGGACCCTTAATATTCCACACCCTCCTCCAAACATCAGTCCGCACACCCCCCATCCTTGCTTCCCATCCCCGTATATGCCCAATCCTGCCCAACCAGTAGCCTGATCTCGTGGTATAAACCCCATCATTAGAAGGCCCCCAATACAATGAATCCTTTACATTCCTCACACTCAAGGTAGCCTTAGCACAAGCTTAGCATCATCATTTGACAGGTGCAGGTGCAATGCATCCATATCCCAGCAATGTCGATCATAATCAATCAAATCAACTACCAATAAATCCCTCGGGCTATCAACATTCGGAGTAAGAACAACATAAGCACTCTCCCCTGGCAGCCACGCCTCCACCTTTACTTTTATCTTCCTGCCATCCCCAACCCGCCACTTAAGCCCTTCAAGCAACAAAGCCTTAGCTCCCTAAATACTCTGCCACACATAACTTGGATCGAAACCTGTACAAGCCGACAAAAAATCACCATGTTTAAAATATCTTGCCTTCAAGACTTTATACACCAAAGTATCGGTGTTGCAAAGCAAACGCCAGCCTTGTTTAGCAAGTAAGGCTTGATTAAAAGTTCCCAAGTCACGAAACCCCATTCCACCAAGTGCCTTCGGCAAGCACAACTTCTCCCAACTAGACCAATGAAGCTTGCGCTCCGTTCCCCTTGCTCCCCACCAAAACGAGCTATCATGCTATGAATTTCACTAATAAGCCCTTCCGGGATCCGAAACAAACCCATCATATATGTGGGGATGGCTTGGGCCACCGCTTTAATGAGTACTTCCCTTCCCGCCTGAGATAACAACTTCTCCTTCCATCCCTGCATCTTCTTCCATATCCGCTCCTTGAGGCAAGAGAACACCACCTTCTTCGACCTTCCGATTATAGTAGGGAGCCCTAAATACTTCTCATGTCTTGCCACTTTCTTTACACCAAGGATGCTAATAATTTCATACACAACATCATCACTTCTAACATTAGTTTCTCCTGTACTAGCTGGCTCATTTTCAAAGTTGTTTCCATCACCAAAATCGTCATCATCATTAAATTCATTTGAGCCCATATAATTTGATGCAATGTTATCATCATTGTCGGTCAAATTTGTTACTTCAACGATTTCATCTACACAATATGTGGAAAAAATAATTAAAAAGGTGAAGTAGGAGAAGATAAGATTTTCCTTTTCTTTTTAACAGAGCTTGCAGAGGCTGACCTAATTTGAAGTTCGAATGATCAATTTCAACAGAGTCGCATAAATAATAACTACCTACATATAGACAGGGAATTTCAATTTGAGGAAAAAAAATTGAGCGCTTCAATCTTCAAATATCAATTTAAACTTAATAATATTTTTAGATTATCAACATAATTTATTAGTCCTAACATAAATTCTAAAAACTAAAGTTAAATTAACAAAATCTAAAGTCTAAACAAAATGCTTAAATTGAATAACAGTAGAAAATCGAACAAAAACATGCAAATTTACCAAAACAATCCCTAAATTACTAAGCAAATAAAGAAAAATTGAAAATTTCATAATATAAGAACATACCTTTGCAAGCTTGGAGCAAAAAAATGGAGTTTATGCATCATGCATGTGTCGATTTGCGTGAATAAGATAATGGTGAAATGGAGATTTGGAGTTGAATGACTTGAATCTTGAATGTCGGTGAAATGGATAGGAAAAAGTGATCAAAAAGGGTTTTTTTTTACAAATAAGATAATGATATCTTGGATTCTTAAGGCTAGAATTAATGGGCCAGCCCATAATATGTTTGGCTGACTAAATTTTCACAGATATAAGCTTTAATGTAAGATCGTTGGAATCGACATAGGGTCGTGATCCTATACGATCCCAACGATCCTATGCCCGATTTTTCGCAAAATCGATTTTAAGGACGATCCAAGTCGTTTGATGAGATTAGGATCGTAGGATCGTACGATCCTACAATCCGGATCGCGATTTTGATAATATTGGTGTCCAAAGATACCTGATGAGTGAGAAAGGATGAACCATATCTCATATGCTTCGCTTATTGGATCAATCATGTATGTCATGATATGTATTAGGCCAGATGTTTCATATGCTTTAGGTGCTACGAGCTGATACCAATTAGACCCAGAAGAGGCGGATTGCATGGACTGCGGTCAAGAATATCCTAAAGTACCTGAAAAGTAACAAGGATAAAATCCTAGTTTATGGTGGCAGTAATGACTTGGTTGTTAAAGGTTACACCGACGCAAGCTTCCCAATAGACAAAGACGACTTCAAGTCGCAATCAAGATATATATTCTGTCTAAATGGAGGAGCGTTTAGTTGGAAGAGCGCTAAGCAAAGCACGACTGCAGATTTTACAAGTGAAGTCAATATTTGGCAGCTTATGAAGAAGCTAAGGAGGCAGTTTGGATTCGCAAGTTCGTTGGTAAAATTAATGGTGTATTCTCCATCAATGATCCAATAGACCTCCATTGTGACAACAATGCAGCTAATGCTAAGGCTAGAGATCCAAGGGAACATCAGAAGGTCAATCATGTCAAAAGGCGATTTTACATGATAAGGAAATAGAAGTCCGAGGGTGAAATCAGAATTTGTAAGATATAAACGGACGACAATATAGCGGATCCTCTCACTAAACCTTTGCCTCAAGTGAAACACAACAAGCACGTTGAGGCAATAGGAATCAGGCATGTTGGAGATTGGCTTTTATTTCCTTAGTTATATGTTTTAATTAATTTTGGATATTTAATGTAAAACACTATCTTGAACAATTCAGTTTTTGGAGTAATTTAAATTTTAAGCAATTTTTATCACTCCATTTCTATTTAATAGTGGTTTAGAATTAAACAACGAGTCCATTTGATTTGAGAATATTCAAAATAGGGTATCAAGACAATGTCTTGGATAAAAAAAACACCTATTAAGTGAACGTTGAATATTATAATCAAACATTATCCCTAATCAAGGTCATTTTAATGTTGGACGATTAATGACCACTTGAGATTAGTGTGTAGTATTGTTTATAGCACCGTTTCTTGTGCTACAAAGACATGATTGTCATAAATCATTTGCATAGGTATTGGTTTAGAACCATACTGGATAGACCTATGAGAATACTTTAAATGATTAAAAATTGTCATAAGTATATTTCTCATTATGACTATCGGAACCGTTTTCCTCGACCATGAGTATTACAAGTTCTCTTGTTTGAGTACTAGTCCGTTTTGATTTATGACAAAATTCTTCTGTACATGGGATTATAACGGCAACACTCGGGTGGGGTCCTCTTACTTAGAGAATCTTACAGTACAAGACTGCGAATGTCCCCTTATTGAATAAATAAGGGATATGTCTTTGTTGTTTACAAGGCCTCTTGATGAGCGAGTGCATGGCCGTGCTAAGATGAATTTTAGAAATCATCTGCTTAGTGATAGTGAAACTCGGATATCGAGAAACACTTCTGGACGTAAAAAGGATGACAAATAATATTACCTTACATTTCATGAAGAGTCATTAAGTGACATAGGAAATAGGCTATACACAAAAGTCGCACTTGTCCGGAAGCATGCGAGACTTGTCGGGCCAAGAGTGCTGGCGTGCGCCAAACTGCCAGGCCCAACCAAGGGGCAAGGCTGCAAGCGAGGCAGCCATGGCGCCCAAGGCTAGGCGTGTCAACTGGCGCACGTTGATAGGGGCCGAGCATGTGGGTGGTTTTGGTGAGGATGCTTGGGGAGGAAGGAATGGTCCCCTCCTCTAGGTGATCCTCACCTACTCCTTCTCTCTTGCTATGCTACTTGTTAATTCTTGATTGCATTGCCTTTTTCTTTTGATTTTTTAATTAAATTAAAACAAAAAAAAAGGATTTTACCAACTTTCCCACATTGATGGGAAAAAGGAATGTTCATGGGATTTCTCTATAAATACCAAGCTTTGGGATTTGAGAAAACTCACTTTGAGTTGTGAGCTTGAAAGGATCACCAAAAGTGTGAACACTTTCGCTCGTAATACTCTAAGCTCTTTTGGTCTAGCCCCGCCTAAGCTACAGGGTAGGGGTCGTATGGGTCGTGCTTGTGGGTGGATTTTGTAGGAGGTTCTCGCATTTGAGAAACTCGAATAGCTTTTCAAGTATGAGCTCTTTAAGGAGCGAAGCACGCTACAAGGGTAAAATCATCTTTCCTTTTATCTTGTTAATATGTTATTAATTATGTTAATTAATATGCTTATGTTTAGTTGCACTTATTTACGTGCGTGTCTTGGGGTCGGGTTTTGACTCTACGTGGCGTTGGACATCACGAAACCCAACAGTACGATCCTCTGGGTTATACAAGCTCCGTAGCTATTGGTGTACTGCAAGTATTTTTAAGTTTTTTATTCTCTTTATTCTTCCTATAATAGTTAGTAGCAAGCCCAATGTGATGGTTTGTTTAGATGTGTTGCTAAGCTCTCTTAAATTGTAATTCAGCTTTTATTTAAATAGTTCTCTTAGTAAAAAATAAAAATAAAAAAATGAGGGAAGTAAAACTGTAAAAGGGTTGAAGCATGAAGATATGGGGGCAACGTACAAATGAAGTCACATAATGTCTTTCACGGTGTATATGTTACGTGCATACTACAGTAACTACTAACTAGTAAGGATTGCTGTAGGATTATTAGTGCACTTAAATTCACTTGATTATGTCATTAATATCATCTTTTTATGCACATATTGTAGTAGTAAACTATGCATATAAAGTGAATTTTAGTTTAAATTGAAACGGGAATGTGTACTTGCTTGTTTTTAGACATTTGATAAAAATGAAGATCTATTTCAAGTTACCTTCATCCACTGTTTGCGCTTTGAGAATCCAATCCTTATATCTTGAATCTTGACATATTTCTTCGTGGTTAGTTGGCACACACCAAAATACTAATCAGGTAATCCTTGATCGATCGAGTAACTCATGATCGATCGAGTAATTCTTGACCGACCAAGTAACTCCGGCCACACAATGTAGTCAACCACATATGAAAGTTTGTGATTTTTTATTAGTTTTTTTGAAAAATTACTACCTCTATTTTAAAATACTTGCTCCACTTTCCATTTCCGACCATTTTAAATACTTGCTTCATTTCCTTATATGCAAAGTTATTTACAATTAATAACAATATACTAAAAGACACACCAACAATGACATGTGTCATTTTTTGATGTGTTTTTTAGTTTTTTTTGTTTAAAAAAAATCAATTCTTGTACATAAATAAAAGAACATAAAAAAGATTTATTGTATCATTGTACAATATATATTGATACCGTAAATTTAAGTAAGAAAAGAAAAATAAAATCAAATTCTTAACCTAACTTGTTATACATAATATTGTGTACTACTCGATCATTTAGTCCATTTTTACAACAGGTTTAAAAAAAAAAAAAAAAAAAAAAAAAAAAAAAAAAAAAAAGATTTTTTTGTTTAATTATGTATGAAAAGCTTGCTAGGAAAGACATAAAAAAAATCTTTGAAGTCAGTTGAAAAAGAAAATATTGCATAAGAGATAGAATGAAATAATACGTAATAATGGGTAAAAAGGAAACTCTATCTTTCCTCAAAAAAAAAATAAAAAAAAAAAGGGAACTCTATCTAAGGGATGAACAAATATTGTTATTGTACTCATTTGGAACAAGAAGAAAATGATACGGAGTATGAATTTGTTGGAGAAATATACTGGATATAAACATGCATATATGCGTACATTAAAATACCTATTTTTTTAATAATAGACTCTTTCATAAATCATATTAAATTCATTTATGAAGTAATAACTTAAACAAATTATATATATTGTTAATTAGATAATTTTTATTGATAATTACCGTGCATGGCACGGGATCTAACCTATATATAATTATATAATAATATACTAAAAGACACACCAACAATGACACGTGTCATTTCCTGGTGTGTCCTTAGTATTATTATTTTTTAAAAAAAATAAATTTTTAAGAAAATTGATAGAAAATATACGCAAAAAATTTAATTTCAAAATAAAAAATTGTAGAATAATATATTTATAAACTTAAATATCTAACCATATCTTTTTATAAATAAATTCTTACATTAGTAATTACTTTTTAATCTATAATGATTATTTATAGTAAAAAAAATCATGAATGTATATTTGCCAACTTAACATAGTTGGTGAATGAAGAATTATCATATTTGAAATAAATAAAAATGCTATCAAGGTTCAAAATAGAAGAAAGCAATATAATATGTATTCAAAAAAAATAAAAAAAAAATTAAAAAAAAAGTCAGAGTACAAGCGGACTCTTTGATCTTTAGTAAGGGTGGATTAAGCCAAGAAATTCTTTTTTGGAACAGTCTCAACGTCCTTGTTGAGAGTCGCTCTGCGAGGCGTCCAGTAGTCTCTGACTTGGTCTTCGGAATCGTAAGTTTGTAAGTAGATTGATTTGAGATAAAATAAATAAATTTTTTTTTAATTATACTCCGTGATAAAGATTGAAAAACTAATCTATTATTTAACTATTTTCTCTCACTTAGTGAACCCACCATAAATTATATTTTATTAATTTCATATTCTCTCTTTTCCAATTCTCTATGCTACTTTTGCTTTTTACATTTATCCTTCCACATACCCTACTACCTCCATAAATATATATATTTTTTTTACCAATTTCTCCTAAAACTCCGCGCATAAAAGGTGTTAGACGAAAAAAAGATACTCCATAACAAAGAGGGTAGGTGTAGTGTATGGGACTATTAAAACTGAAAAAAAGAATTAATATCTCATTTTACTATCTGGTTACATTCAAGCTGATTTAAGTACAGTCTAATTACATTTGAAAAAAGATATCAACTACTCGCTCCGTAATTTAAATTTTGCATCATATTGACTTGTGCATTATTCACATATTTTATCCTATTATTATAACATGGATTATGTTATTATTTAATATATCACTGGATTAGTTACAATGTCAATTTTTATAATTTAATTTTTTTTTACAATATTTACTAATAGCTTAAACATATAAATGATCAAAGTGTACATCGATAAATGTTACCGTCAAAGCGATGTAAATATTAAAAATGGAAAAAAAAAATTAAATTATTAATCAACAAACATAACAATAAAAATGTCGTTA